ACTGTAGCAAAGTGGTCCTTTAAGGTTCTCGAAACATTTCTCGAATCCGAATTTTCCTCGGAGAACATTCGATTCTGGATCGCCATACAGGACCTTAAATACTCACCAAATGAACAAATCGATCAGAAAACGGAGCGGATCTATGAGGAATTTTTGGCGCCCGGCGCTCCAGCTCAGGTACAGCCAAAGGGACCATTTCGTTCCGAGGCTAAGAATTTCTCAGAATTATTTGACCCATTCTCAGGTTAATGTCGACTCTCGGACATTGGATCAGACGTTGGACTGCTTGCAAAAGGCAACGACAGCGTCAACACGACGTCATGCATTCACACATTCTGAAGAGCATGTCTTCACCCTCATGGCGAAGGACTCTTATCCACGATTTGTACGGTCTCAAATTTATAAGGTTTGTTTTGTCATTTCAATTCCATCGGAAGGAGTAAGTGTATTGGCTAGCAGGCGTAACTAATCTGGATCTAACGCACTGACCATGAAAGGGTTTCAAATTCCCATGCAGCTTTGAAATGAGACCTAGGTAAATCGATAGAACCGGAATACTGGTTACAAATATGAAAAGCAAAACCGCTGCGCGAACTTGCCTAGGAAACTGTGAGCGATCAAAGTTGGCTCTTAATGCAGCGTTGGTATAATGATATTTGACAAAAGCCTACTTGCAAGGGATTCTGATGGCCCTGATTACGAAGATGACATCTATTCTTGGCGCAGGACGCCATTTGGCACCAATCTGGAAGCGCCAACCTAGAATGCAAAATTTTGTCACCACGGGGAATCGAACTTGGGACCACTTTGATCGCTAACAACTTCCTTGACAGGTTCACGTAGCAGTTTTGGTCTTCACATTTGTAACCATCATCCCAGGCTCTATCGATTTACCTACTCGCATCCCCCCCCCCCACCACCAATGCCATATTCAAAGTAGCCCCGCCTCCCAGCGATCGTACCGGCTACCTTTTAGAGCAGCCATTAACCGTCCGTTCAACATTAGAAGGAAAATCCCAGTCAGGGCAAGAATCCACCTGAAGTGATAACAAGAAATGCTGCACTCGAGGTTCTAGGATCACCTGTTCTTGGCATTTACTAGACATAAAACCAAAGCTTTCTTCATCCCCTTATGTCATATTTTAGGTTGAATAAATTGAATATTCCAAGGGGAGCATAGTGCTCATATTATTGTGGGAAAGGACGTCTCCACTGTAGGCGTCCCCGACTCAAGTTTTGCTCAAACCGACCAATACCCGTAATTTCTCCTCAAAAAGGCTCCATGAAACATCTCTTCTCTTTGTCCGATATTTCCGTCACATTCTTGGGTGTAGACCTAGCCATGCCGAGCTGCTAATCACTGCTATGCGCACAACTTCCTCCAAAAATTTTCATGGCTCTTCTTCAGAACCATTATCTACCGTACACCTATTTCAGGGAGTATTGTCAGCAGCACAACAACAAGGGTCAAGGCGTTTGGGATGGCGAAATTTCATTTTCAACATGGGAGCCGCCAAGAAGAATCCTCAATGTAAACCAACTAAGCGGGATGAATTGCACTCGTCAAATCTGCCGAAACAACTCAGCTCCGATTCACTTCCGGTTCGAACAGCTCATCCGCCCAAGTGAGTTTCTAGATGCTCTGATTTGCAAAAAGGACATTGACACCGGTTTCGCGCCGGCGCCAGGGCCGCAATTTCGAGAAATTTCGTCCTATTTCGTGCTATTTCATTCCTTAGCCCGCCTGATATGCTGTTGAGAATTATGAGCTTAGAATAGGAAGCAGAGGTTCAGCAGCTGTCGAGGGAATATGAGATGAGGTCTTCAGCCAAATCATATTAACTGATTTACCGTTCAGCTGACCTTCGATGACCCTTTGCGTCCGTCAGGACCATGATACGCGTCGAGTGCAACCATACCACAAGCGGGCGAGTCTCCACAAAATGCATTGTCTGCCTTAAGGAAGTGATTAACGGTTGAGTGTGTTCCGTAAATTCTTCATAACTCACTACATGACTAATACAGCTTTCATATTACCTTGGGTAGGTTATCGGATTTATAGTACTTGAAGACCATCGCACTTGTGGTGTGTAGTCTGCACTCGACGCAGACCTGGTTTTTGGAAGCAGAGCATACATATCACCTATTCCGTTGCTCTCCCGATCAACAACTATTTTTCATTATGTTCAGATACTTTCTGACGCAAGAAGCGCAATAAATATTAGGTTGTAGGGAAAGTTCTCGCGGTTTTTCGAAGCACGTTGAGCTCTGGTTGAGCAACTTTTTTGAATCGAAGCCAGAAAAGTTCTTTGCCGAAGGCATCAAAAGTCTGCCCGAAAAATGGCGAAGAGTGATAGAACGTGATGGTGATTACTTTGTTTCCTAATATGTTTTCTTGTTGATAAAAAATTAAGGTAATGATATGTGTCAAAAACCGCGAGAACTTTCCCTACAACCTATTATTTTCAACCGTCAGCGTGCGGCACGCGACGCACGTCACATCAGCCCGCGCTTACTTGTTCATCAAGTTTATGCATTATATATGGAGGACACCATGAGAATCTTTAATTATAAAAAAGTATTTTATGTGACAATCATGAACCTCACAACACCGTTTCAGGAATAGAATGATTTTTTTTTCTAAATACACAATGCAATTTTACAAATTATTAAAGAAAATACTTGAGAAGAAAATTGTACAATTTCAGACCGGAAACGTCGGCTGAATGATTCGGCGTGGCACCATTCCTCACTGACCAATTCGGAACACGAGGCGTATGATGGCGATTTGGATGATCGAGTTGTCGACGAGTCGCGTACGATTGTTCGTTCCGAGCGCTTTGCCGTCCACAAACACCGTTCTTGCGCCGACGTTTGTCATCTCAAACTGTCCAGTAGCGGGATCGCGCGCGATCACCGCCTGTCGTCGCGAGACCTTCTCGGCAGGGCCTTCTAGCGCGAGATCGAGATCAACAGGATCGCGTGGTGTGCTCCGACCCAGTACAACTCTGTCGGTCCGCACAAGGTAACGAACCACTCGACCTCGTAACGTGGCCCGAACATCGGTAGCTGGGCTGCAAATGCCCGTCACCGGCTGCACTACGACTTTCGCGAATTCGCGTTCGCGGGCGTCGCACGCGGCTGCCGCGTTCAGTGCTCTGGTCTCATCAAAGTTCACCCTGCCGGTAAGATCGTACGTTCGCTCCAACAACTCCCAGTCGACCATTCCTGATTGCGGACCTGGAGCCAGGATTCCATACCTGGAAATAAGACGCGTTTAGCCGATCAGACCACACAACTCGTTGTTCATTTATAGTTCTCAAGCCCCAAAGTCAGTCCCGCCCTACGCCCCGTTGTCATCCCCCTGTACATGTGCCGCGTCTCGTTTTTGATGCGCTGACCTATATCAGATCTATTGATGATCATTTCTAGACATGATGAATAAGCATAATCGCAGCTGATTAAAACACTGCCATATATATACAGAAAAATTCTAATAAAACGTTGTTGAATTCCTAATTATACCGGGTCGAGATTTTTGTTAGAATTTGTCTCCCGAGTGTGAGCTTCCAGATGCCCCAGATGTTCTTCATTCAGCGTTTCTGAGTTGACCGGCCTGAGACGCGTGCGGCTGCGGCGCAACTGATAGCGGACTGATCGATACCGAACCGCGTCATGCGCGTCTCAGACCGAAGGACGCAGACGAAGCTGAATGAAGAGCATGGCTTACATCGGAAGCTGCTCGTGGAGGGAAATTCCACCAGAAACCTCAGGCTAACGTCATTACATCGCTATGTCATGTAATTGCGCTGTCGTCGTCACGTTTATCGCGTCGCGCGAGCCAATCGATACTCCGCCTCCACATCCCTTTCCCATTGAACTCCCCAAAACGTGGCCCGCAATGCTATTGTTATATGTTAACCTTCGTAATTGCTCAATCTTCCTTGTCGGTATCAAGTCAACACGTCATTTCACGGTTGTTAATTCCTTTTTTCTTTGTAAATGAGTATTTCAAGAGATGTTGTTCTTTTTGACGTTAATGCAAATAAACATTTAAAACCTACGAGTTCAAAATGTGCCAGTGATCCAACAACGACTGAGGGGTACGAGCCGAGTGGAAATCTTCAGGATATTTCTTTATCAAGTCCTCCATCATCGCTCGATCCGGGCACGACATATTTCCGAGATCCAGACTACGCAACAGGTCTTCCTCCCTCATCGTGAATGCCGTTCGAGACTAGAAAAGAAGAAGTGCATTCAGCAGTTACCCCTGGAATACTGCAAACATTCGAAACACTTACACAGTACTTAAATTATACCCTCCTCAGGAGACTTTCAATGATAAGAAATTCTCGGATCGATAAAAAGAAATTAAAGCAACAACCCGGATCAGATTCGAGCGTCGGCAGCGGCCGATGAAACTGCGGATATAATGGTTGAACAATCAAGCGAAGCAAGCCTACAAGCCCTTAAACAAGGACTCCCTTTCTTCTTCTCATGAACTGAGGCAGAGGCGTGTCGGACGAGTTGTCCGAACTTGCTTGCTCCATGGCTCCACTAACCCGCGCGTATTTGAATTAGCCGCTACGTCGTAATCCACGTTGCGTGCCATAGGGTGTGCGCGAGGTATCTCGTCCACTAACTAATATTGGGGGTCATTAGCTAAATTGGGGCGGAAGTGGTGTAGTGACAAGTGGCGCGCTTACCACGCGAGCGGTCCGGGGATCAAATCCTGGGTCGTGAGTCGCCCGGGCCAACCAAGCCTTCCATCCCTCCGGGGTCGGTTAATTGGTACCAGACTTGTCTGGGAGGATAAAAACACTGACTTGTACATCGGCTGGCCCCCGCAAGTCATTGTATAGGCCACATCGCATTCAAACGCCACTACGAATGTACAAATGGAAGTAGAATGCGTGCCGCATCCCAAAAGGGATTGATCAACGGCAAATGCTTTATCCTTTATCTTTATTAGGCTAAATAAGGTAAAGACTCATACTCGCTCATTGTCGCGCACTTTCGAACCGCGCGACAACGGTTCGACACAACTCATCTGGTTTGTTGATTTAACAAAGGAACGGGATGCCAGGCAGCCTGCACTACGTATCTCAATTCATGGCATCAAGACTAACTATAAAAACTGAACCGACTTGAATTCGCAGGATTTCTTCGACTGGTAGCTCATTCATCCTCTTCTTGGCTTGTCTTGACAGAGTGTGTCGTCATACATGAGTTGATACCACCTAAAAGTTGGGAATTCACAAAGAAACTGTAACAGAGGTACTTCAACCAAGCAGACGGAACCTGGTCGACGCTATAGGGGAGCGCAACGAAATAACTTTTTCAGATGAAGAGCACTACACTGGTGTGCAAAACTTAGGGACGAGACAGATGGGGTATCATAACCTTTTGACAGCTTTGTGGACTGTTTGAGACGAGTCTCTGTTAACTGCTTTCTTTAGTGCCCTGTGACAGCTCTCTTTGTATGTGGGGTTAGGTTCCATAGAGTCATCTTACGCGCCAGTAACACGTCGTTGGAAAAGCTACGTTCGTCCCTAAGTTTTGCACACCAGTAGCGCCGGAGAACAGTGGGCTCATTTGGGCTGTCACAAAAAGCGCCGTAACAATCAGAGTTGGTGGTGCGAGCCCTGCCCCTAATATACTTTTTGCTTATATAACGTGAGATACCGTGTAACAAACCAAGACTTTGTCAGAAAACACGCGGAAGCCTAAGGCTGGTGTCAGATGTCCGCGATTTGCGCGATTTTCGCGATTTTCGCGATTTGCGCGATTTTCGCGATTTGCGCGATTTTCGCGAAACCTGCGATGGATCACAGGAGTTGGAAGTGCCCGATGAATACTGCGAGGTGTTGTTTAATCCTGCTGCGAATTCTGCTTGGCAGTAAAGAGATTGGAAGACGAATGTTTGTGGTTCTACTTGTTTCATGTTCAATGTCTATTAGTTCATTGAAATGCTCTTGAATCGTTCCTTTTTTTTCAGGAATCAAACCAAACCAATCACAAAAATTGCAAGTGCCCCATTTGAACAATTGAAACACTGGATATGAAACAAGTGGAATCATGAGCAGTCTCCATTAAACCATAACCATCAAGCAGAAGTGACGGCGGGATTGGAGAACACCTTGCAGTATGGATGGGGCACTTGTAATTTCCGTGACCCGTCGCGCAAATCGCGCAAATCGCGAAAATCGCGCAAAATCGAATCGCGGACTCTGACACCAGCCCTAACCCTAAACTCGTCACATTAACAGGAATTACGACGGGAAAAACACCACCATACGAAGATGCGTTTAATACCTACCTCTCCTCGATATCTTCTAAGGAATATGGTCGACTGAACTTGATACTACCATATGCAGCGCGCAAATCATGCACCTGGAAGCAAAACGAAAACAAACGAGAAAACCACATGAGCCTCAAATATCGAGTCATTGTGTCGTGTTTATAAGCGTTTCTTGAGGCGCGAATGGAAAGTGCCATATCACATTGTTTTGAGGGTTTTGTTAGCTCGAGGCTTGGTTGAGGCGCTGCATGCAAGTAACGGATGTGTCCGCTTAGGACAGAAAGCAGCTTTCGCGTTTCGCAGAGCGAGCACTTTTCGGGAACCTCAGGTCCTCCGCTATAATGAGTGGACCTAGGCTCCGCAGGAAAATTGTGCTGCGAAACGCGAAAATCCTTTTCTGTTCTAAGAAACCACACCCAAACGTCACGTTTCTTAGTTCAGATGTCCATCAGACCATGCGACTCAGATGGTCGATCGAGCGACGCTCGCTCGGCCCACAATTGCCGAGTCTGTCTGACGGACATCTCAAGTTCAAAACTCACATGTGTTACTGCAGTAACCAGTGCCACGTCGTCTGCTGCTGTCCAACGGCCGTAATTCAGCAGATGTCATGCCGTCCGCCGCTTCTGTAGCCGCGACTAACTCCTAAACGATACGAACGAAATTTAAATTGAATGAGAAGAAAATATGAATCAAAATCTCAATGACGAGACGAAAACCCCAGTGTGATGATTTTCAACCTTGCATCGAATATCTTTCTGTGCGATTCTCGCTTCACGGCGTTTCTTCTCCATTTTTGCTGCTTCCTCTTCCTCTTCGGCTGTCTGACGGTCTTCTACGCTATGCGTGGGTCTTCTCGCCGTAACGAGTGAGCATGCTTGGCAGCTGGAGTCGCAGAGCTCTCTATCTAAATATATCAAAAATGAGAAAAAGATGACAGGTGAAGCAAATAATCCACAAGGTCTCAAACCTATGCGAAATTGAAATAGAATTTTTTGGAAAAGTAACAGCAAAAAAAAAATGAGAAGTAGACCCGACCTTTCAACGCGTCGTCTAAGCTAGCCAGAAACATTTTCAATCTTTAGGAGGAAGCGGTTCCAAAATTCCAACCCAAGAATCAAAACTAATTTCAAAACTGTTTCTATAATAAATATGAATTCAAATTGAGTTTGGACGCATCTCACTGCAAAGAGTTTGTACAAAGAAAGAGAAGGAACTTTGTATAAAATGATATTCATATAATTTGATATAATGAACTGGTCCCTTTTTGTAAGCTTTTAACGATCAAGTGTTAGCTTTCCCACGGCGCTTTCGAATCAAGAGGTACAACACACCTTTGAAAAATCTTCTCCTTTTCCACATGGTTGAGGTTGGGCAAAAATAGCTTTACCATCGCCTTTGGCATCTCCCATGCCAAAACTTCTGCGATGGATCTGCTGAGGATGACCGATTGTGGGACTTTGAGTTACCATTCTCCGATGAACTCAACGACGGAGAATGCATTGATCTTTCTCCTACACGTTTCTGAAACTTAAAAAACCCCACGATCACATGTATAAAGTCATACCCAAGCTCGGAGTACTTGGACGAATTCATATGGAACATAAGAATAGGGGAAGAATGAGAAGAAACTGAACCAAGGTGGGCGAACCCGTCAGCTCAACGAGTGGGAGGTAACTCGAGAGGCAGGCGCGGAAAGGTGGCTCAAACCTTGATCTACAATAAATCCATTTGCAGACCACACAGAGTCAAATTTTTATATACAGCAGTATGCTATGACTTGCCAACAGGGTAAAGCATCCGTTGCTCCAAATGCTAAAAACTTAACGACCTCCCCCCTTTAGAGGGGTCTCAAAACGACCACTACCAGCTTCGAGGGAGGCTCCTAATACGACCTTTTTCCGCATTCCTGACCAAACCCTCATCACCATTACTGTTTCGCGAGTGTGGTTCACTAGGACAGAAAGCGACTTTTCGCGTTTCGCAGCGCGAAACATTTTTCGCTGCGGGAACCTCGGGTCCACTGATGATCAGCGGTGGACCTGAGGTTCCCGCAGCGAAAAATGTTTCAACGCGAAAAAGTCACTTTCTGTCTAAGTGAAATCCCCTTTTCCTATAGCATTTACTTTTGAGACCATTCAACACAGCTCAACTCACCCACTTTTGCTTCAATACTGCCGTCGAGGAAGGGGAGGGGGGGGGAGGGGGTGGGCGAGAAAGCGAGACTATTTGTCAGACGAAGCAACAAATCCTCTAACTTGAACAAGTTCATACCCCCGTTTCAAAAACTTTTGTCCCCACCAGTACCCAAAAAAAAAATACGAGCCCCCCCACTCAAAAAACTCAAAGGTAGCCCACCTCGTTGAAAACCGAGCAACACACGGTTGACCCTGCCTGCGGATAGTTCCATTCTCTTCTTCGAATTCTTACAAACAAGCGGTATGTTTGAATGGAGAGGAAGCTTTTGGTCTGCTTGAGCCATGGTTTGCATGTGCGGGGGAAACGAACGCTATACTTCATTAAAACATTGGTAATAAAAAAAGGTGCTATCGCAATGCGGCGGGGCGTTGTTGTGCAATAGTTCCTGTGGCTTATGATTATCCCCTTTTCAGAGGTAAGTAAAACGGCGAAGCGTAATGGTCCACTACCACGGGATTCCTATCCCTGGAAAATACGTCATGTAGGCGAACGAACTATTTGCACCGATCGCCAACCCTTCTGTAATGCGACAACGCCTTAAAAGTGAATTTTAAGGGCATTGTCCTTTTCACTCCGGGGTGACCTCTTTTTTGGGAGATTTTACACTGATCCACTAAAGATACACAGAAATCACATCAAATTCCAAATTCTTGAAATATATTTCAAAAATTGTAATCACTGGCCCGTTTTTACAGAATTCTAGCCTTGTCCTTCATTGCAACAACAAAGTGTAATATGATCGGCTTCGAAACCACTTCTCGATCACTTGCTCCCTGCTCTCTCGTTGAATATGCTGCCTAATACTTCTCGGTACACCGTGCATTTGCCATACTTCAATTGGCATTACCCAAAACGCGTTCGAGAGACTTAACAGTTTTCGTGAGACTTACTTTGTTAGAAACTTGCTATGATCATTTAAAAGCACACTCCACTACAGCAAAAGGGGGGGGGGGGTTGAAGGGGGTCAAGAATGAAGCAGTAAGTGCTGACCGTACGCTGAAAAAAGTGCAAATCACTTAATTCAGATGCCTTCTTCTTCTGGCAAGCCAGACAGAGAAAGGTAGGTTGAAAACATTGGGCGATGAGGTGAGAGCACAGAGATGAGCGATAAAAGAGCATAGCGGACGAGCGGCAGCCGATACCGTAAAACGCGTGGGCGTGGCGATGATTGCACTAGAATTGTACATGTTGCGGATTGCGGATCTCGAGCCCCTCCTTAGGCCGGTGTCAGACTTTGCGAATCGCTCGACTGCGGCGAATCTCAAACCCCTTGTTAAGCGGTTGCGAATCGCTCGATTCGCAAAGTCTGTCACCGAACTTAGGAATTTCAAGGGAAAGTGCCGCTCTGCAATCAAAACCTAACCAACTTCTTTTGCGAGAGAGACTGGTCTAACGATCTCGACGAAATGTGCCTTTTAACACATTGCGTACCGCGTGCGCCACATGGTGGCGCACGATTTCACACGAAACATCATGGTTTAATCTGATTTATTTGACATTTTTCAATGCTCATGGACTGGTTGCACTCATTTTCAGAGCCTGGGAACCATACGTGTCATCACTGGTAAAACTGTTGATAGATTAATGATGATACGTTTTTGAAAAAATATAAAAAGCTACAAAGGTGCTCATACAACAACGGCGGTCCGCAATGTGTTAAATAAACTATTAAATACTGATATCAATGTATTTGCATGTCTGCCACCACGCCCTTCCTGAAGCGCTCAGGTTCAGCTTATTCAGCGTGTGAGCAATAGAAATCGGAGCCGACTGATATTAACTACTTCTTCAAAGATAAAATAAATGAAAATTATTTCGAACGAAAGGGGACCAACATGGCTACTTCATCGAGGAGACAGCAACTTTGCCACACCACTGTCGACCAACTCGTCGTCAAATTTCGGCCGTTTTATGTCACGAGTTGAGCGCCTTCTTCTTTTCTCAGATCCGTCATCTTGATCGCTGAAGAATATCACAAAGATAAGCTTTTATGTGGAACTTACGGAAATTACGAAATCATACCTTATGGAGGACGCCGCTTCGGATTGTGTTCTGTCGCGGAATGAGCTTGGAGCTGGGTGAGATCTGCGACTCAACGCTTGCTTCCTTGTTAGTGCACATCGCGTTCAGGAGGTATCACGACCGACGGTCCCTGATCGGATTCCATCGCAGAGGCACTGGGTGCCATTTTGGAGTCATTTTCAGCTTGGCTGTCACATTTAGGGACATTTTCGGTTTCTGCTGCGGGCATGACCGTCTCCGTGTCCATCGGCATATTTTCATCCATTTCAGTCATCTAATCTGAATAAGAGTGCTGGAATGAATTGAATTAATGGTTTTCGAAGTCTTCGCAGAGACCGAATCAATACATGTCATAATTGTGGAATAATATCATAAGTGATGACGTCGTTCAGGGCGCTCTCAAAAAAGGGAATTCGAAAATCGCTGCTATGTGAAACTAGGACTAGGCCCAAGAGAGAGGAGAACGCCAGGGAGATCAAAAATTGTTCACTTCCTCCCCTAGAGTCGCTTCTCCTTAATAAAGCTTACAATTAGTCTACGCACTATAAGGTGGCTTACTCACTGAATGCCCCCCCCCACCTAACGGCACATGAACGCATCGTTCAGAATAGTTGAAATGAGAATGATTTGGCTAGCAAGACTGCCAGACAAGCCTAACGTCTGTTGATGTAATATAATGATAATCAAATAAAGCCAAATGAGACGAGGAAATCCAAATTTTTGAAAAATACACGTTTCGCTTTTCAAAATATTCCATGAGCTATGTGTCCAAAACATCCGCCCGCCCCTCAGTTGGTTACCATCTTTTCGGAAGGCAAGAAAGCTTCGGATGCAGACCACACACCACAAGCGACGACGTGCAAGAAAAAGGGGCTTTTTTTTTTTGATCGTCGTCATAGTTTTGCTGCTTGTGCGTCTGCACTCGATGCTCTTCCCGTCGTCCAAAATCGAGGGTAACGATTCTCTGGGGATATCGACAGCTTCGGCTGCATTCAGACTGCGTCAAACGCGCGTTGCAGAAGGCAGGCTACGAAACACCAGCACCAAGGAGAAACAAAAACAATGATTCGCGCGAAAAAGCGGTGCGCAAATCGCGATGCGAAAGCGCTTAGTGTGCTTTATAATGGTGCCTGGCCGTCTTTTTTGTTTTCTTTCATCGTTGGTTAGCCGGGTCACCTCAACTACCTTCCTCTCTGGACGCAAGTAACCCACACCTGTTTAACCATGGGATGGTCCGTAATAACTTCGTATAGCATACATTATACGAAGTTATCACGTTATAGCGGCAACTGTCAATGCACGCGAAAATTCGACTACTTTGGACCACTGGCTTGTACCCGGAGTCACCCAAACGACCCTCTCTTCACAGTCGATGGTGTCGATTAGACATCGTTGAACATGGTAGCACTTGACATACGCCAACCCTACCCCAAAAACTAAGAAGGGCGCCAATGGGTAGGTGGCGAGAACGCAACCTCCACTTCAAAAAGCGAGGTGTCGGGTGCAGACCAAACACCACAACTGACGACGGTCTTCAAAAATCCGGTTAGAAATTGTTCAGAGTGATAGCTGATTTCTGAAAATGATAGTTGTAATTAGTGACAATCGATAGAATACAACTGCAACAGGCTAATCATTTCATTGGCAGAAACATTAACATTTTGTGAAGGCCGTCGTCACTTGTGGTGCATGGTCTGCACCCGACACTTTCTCGCTTTTTGAAGGGGAGGGTAAATAGCTTCAAAACAGCAAATTCGGAACAATTCGATCCAGTTCATCTAATTTTCGTGAAAAACAGCTCAATGCAAAAATTACACCTTTCTCCCTTCAGAAACAATATCTTTTACTTCCACTGTTCGAAATATGAGAAGTGCAATTAAATGAACGAGTAAAATAGGAAATGCGACCTGGAGTGAACTGAACGTGAAAATCTTGTCAAGAAGGCCTTCACAAGTATCTAACAAGTGTAAACACGTGATCACCGGTTCTGAATGCTCCCACGAATATCTGGGATAGTTTCCCTTCATGCAGAATTTCCACAGCCAACACGTACACGGTCACGATCTCACGCACTCGTTTTGTTTAACAGCTAGCCCTGGTGAGTTTGCCGCATCAATTAATTTTTTGGAGCTATCGCAATATACGGGGCATACTTTGGGACTAGGCCAGAAAATAGGCAGGAGCTCCAGGGAAAGTGAAAATGGCTCACGGCAGTGGAGTGTTCTTTCCCCGCCTTAGGCTTCTCGTTTCTTACAAAAAAGGACACGTTTTACACGGCTCAAATGCACTGCCATCACGAGACCCCCGTAGGGTCTCATCCAGTAAGAAACGCATTTGACCATCATCCTGAACATTTGGGTGCTAACTTAGTTGGGGGGGCACGCGGCGGCGCGGCAGTCTGCTCACCTGGGCTCTCTCGAGCGAGACAGTGTAAACTCGAACATTCCAGCTTTTCACGCATGTCAAGTGACTGCCCCCACCCCCCACCCCCCTAGACTGGCTACACTCCCCCTGGCCCACGGATTTCCGAACATGCCAGGCGAGCAGACTGCCGCGCCGCCGCGTGGCCCCCCCCCCCAACTAAGTTAGCACCCATTTCGGGACCATGGAAAGCACATTATTTTATTGTAGACGTTCAGGACTAAGCCCTAGAAGGGAAGGAGTCCTCCGGATCCGTGAGCAATCTGGCTTTCCCCGGGGGGACTTCCTCCCCCTCCTGGGCTTAGTCCTGACCTGCTAACTAGGTGAATTTCACTTCTCGTAGACGTTAATGTCATCTAGTACAAGAATACATACATTACACAAAACACCTGAAGAAATAACATAGGAAAAAAGCTGATAGCAGCTCGTAACTTTAAAGGACTCCTTGAGCCAAATTGGCATTAGAGCAGACCGTGCACCGCAATGCCCCCTCTTACCGGATGAGACCCCATGCAGATGCTTTGCCGATATCGCCTTTTTGGTTATCGATAAAAGGAGAAGGCATTTTGACGATGTTGTTGCGGACAGAATGATGCGCGAGTGTGAGGTGGAACAACTCCACATGTGCAAAAATGAGCCACATTAAGGGGCCTGTCGCAGAATCGGAGGCATGGGGATATGGCAAAGGAGTTCGAAAAAAGTATCTCTTTTTGTTAACAATGGGACAAAAGCCTTGAAAGGGGGAAAGAATGCAATGTGCGTGAGCAATTTCCATTTCCACCGAAGTCCCTGCCCACTCCCAGGCTTAGTGAAGATGTCCCCTTATCTTGCGATTGCGTTTACGTATGCTTCTTATGAATTTTTATGCTCTTCATCAGAACGCCCCCCAAAGCAAAAGTCCCATCAGAGTTTTCAACTTCGACATTAGTTGTGTAGAACGACGCGTTAGCCCTAGTCAAGAACAGAAAAAGTATGACTGAGCAAAAAACTTGAAAAGCCCTTAAAAAGGGAACTGAACTCCGAAGTAGGCATGGTTGCTGCAATCCCCTCGGCCGATTCGCCACCACGCCCTTTTCGAAAGCCGTTCAGCTCCCTTTTCTAGAGGGCTTTCCAAGGTTAGTTTTTTTGCTCACGTCACTTCGTATGTTCTTGAGTAGGGCTAGCGTCCACGCCATCAGTGCCGAAGGTAAAAACTCTGCTGGAACTGCTATATTTGTTGATTACCATTTCGCTCAAACAGTTAGTGCTCTCAGTATGCTTGTTGCTTTGATAAGCCTTTTATTGAAAGCAAAATGTCACCATTACGAAAAATTTGCTCGTATAGCACAACGATAGTCGCCCGGCTCCCCCACTTTCTTCACGATTTGGGGCGCGGCCGCGGCGAGCGCGGACGAGTCGATAGTGCCCGCGAACTGTGGTGGTGATGCGTTTTCAAATTTACCCACACAGTTCGCGGGCACTATCGACTCGGCCGCGCTCGCCGCGGCCGCGCCCCAAATCGTGAAGAAAGTGGGGGAGCCGCGCTCATGTCCTCAGGGGCGAGATCGAAACAGATCATTCAAAACGCTGGTTGGTGACACTAGGACTAAGCCCAGAAAGGAGGTGAAACCCCGGGAAGAACAAAGAATATTAACGTCCTATCCCGAAATCTCTTCCCCTCCCTGAGGCTTAATCCCATGTTCTGTAAGTGGCATCTCTTCAAGGTCCTCCTATCGACACAAGCGCCTTACGTAGTAATTATTGACTGAACGAACAAAAAAGGCCACAATTTCGACAAATCATGTGGTTAGGTCCCACACCAAGAACCGACTCGTATTGATGCCTGTTAAAAGTCAAAAAGCTCACCATCACACTACAACACCAAAATAATCGAGACTTCGCATAGCATTGCGCTCGTCTCCACCATCCCAGCCGAGGTCCGTGTATGTAAACAGTATCAGACTCACCGAGGGGAGAAAAACCTGCCTTTGAAGTGACAAAACACCACATGGGTTCTTGAGTATGAGCTGTGGCCATTCAAGGGCAACTACAATCTGGATGGGTGGCGAAGACGTGGTGCGTCCCAAAAGAATGTCAGATTCATCCCTCACATAGTTAGTATGAATTGATGGGTGATATCTTCCTGACCACTGTGATAAGCAGGAACTGTTACATCAAAATAGAGCCCAAAGGATAGAGTACCATTCTGAATTACCAAGAAACTTCTATCAAATAAGAGCTGTCACCTTAAAATAAATCAACTGAAGTGCAATCATAACTCCTCATTAAGTATGAGTTGGAGCACGGAGACGTTCTCTAACCACTGACATCGAAATATTTTGAGTTTTTGAAAGTGCGGCTTTATCGTGTTTTTACTCGTGATAGTGTGAACAATGGGTCGGGACACTTTGGAGAGGTTGCACTGTATGCGCTGATGATGCATGTTTCAGTAATCGTAAGGAAACTGAGACTTGGGAGTATGTCTGAAAATATGGGCAGTGCGACACCTTATCAAAAGAAATGTGAAACATTAAACCAAGCATTTCAAAAAAGAATTGAGTTGGCAGTGAACTTTGGAAACCCCAAATCAAATGGCATGAAGAGAGCAATTTAAAAGCATTTTGTTTCGTCTAAAATTTGAACTAGACAATAAAATTGCTCAACTGCACTGCTTCCAAATGATCAAGCAAGATGCGCTACATGGCTAAAAAATGGCCGTGTGCCAGCTCGACATTATTTACCGTAGTCAGACTGATGTTTTGCGTGCACAGTCATCCATTCTCATCGTGTCTAGGCGTGCGAGGGCATCTCGCTCAAGAATCCGTCGGAGCACTGCTTGAAGGCTCTTCCCAGCCACCTCGAGGAGGAAAATGTTGTCCAAGAGACTTGTTTCTGCTCTCGCAAACAGCGCTAAGGTAAGGTTTTCATTTGTGAATTGTACACCCGACTTGATCGTTTTCCTGCTCCGAATTGAGCGCGGAGCGTTGCTCTATTCGTATAACTTCGTTGTTTTTTCCCTTCTCTTGAACGTCTTTGCCTCACAATGAAACTGAACGCGGTGTAATCACTATCTTTTTTCTCATGTTTTCATTACCTTCTGCTAGAAGGCAATAAATTCATGCCTGGATGATTTAGCTCTGGCTAACATTTGCATTTTGAAAGTGAGAATCACTTGATTCTTTCAGAGTTCTTTAATGTTCAGTGTTTTTCCATCTCGTGAAAGTGATTTATGAGCTTTTTTTGATACAGGCGACGCAGAATGCAGGAATTGCTACGACTGCACGGAGTATGGCAGTTGGAGGATCAGAGGTCTCGAAGATCCTCGAAGAACGATTCTTGTCAGGGAGAGCAGCACATTAAGCTCGAGGAAAACTGAATAGGTAGCTTCAGGCTGTGTTTCTGCAACAGTTTCTATTCCCTTTTATCTCCTTTCATCGAAGTTTATGTGTTGGGGGTTGACATTACCTATGGTCATTTTCTTAGTGTTCCAACAAACCTTCAACTGATGGGATCCTTAGTTTTTTCACTAGTGTGAATTCTTTTCGGACAGGCTAAGCATTGGATGGATATGAGCTGACATGTTTACATGAAGGGCGGATAACTGCTTTCAATCCTGCGTTTCGCCTTGAGTCAGTCAGTTGATTGTAGGCTCGGTTTACACGTTCCAGATTCATACCACGCTAATTTGAATTCCTCATAGGAGCTCAGCTTTCCATAATTGCAGTTGCGAAATGAAAAGCAAGACCGTGTCCCCGAACTTCAATAAGAGACCGTGAAAATGAGACAGCATTGAGCACTTTCTTGTTAAACTTTTGGAGGTTGTAAAAAATGCTGTTTTTCATTGCATCTGATCAAATCGTGACTTCTCAATTTTATGTTCATGCACATTCAAAAAAATTGTCTTGGGAACAGATTTCTGGCTGATACACGGTTTCATTAATTTTTTAGGTCCTCTCCATCGGAGACGGTATTGCTCGTGTGTACGGTCTGAAGAACATCCAGGCTGAAGAAATGGTGGAGTTCGACTCAGGTATTAAGGTGAGGTTCTTGACAACATCATCTACTTGCCGTTTGTTTTGAGAGAATAATTTTCAGCAAAAATACTTCTTTCCAGGGAATGGCTCTTAACTTGGAGCCTGACAACGTTGGAGTTGTAGTGTTCGGTAACGATAAAGTCATTCGAGAAGGAGATATCGTGAAGCGTACCGGTGCTATCGTCGACGTTCCTGTCGGAGAGGCCCTGCTCGGACGTGTCGTTGATGCTCTCGGAACGCCTATTGATGGAAAGGGTCCGATTGCTTGCAAGACTCGCTCACGTGTAGAAGTGAAAGCTCCTGGTATCATTCCTCGACTTTCTGTCCGTGAACCTATGCTTACTGGTGTGAAGGCTGTCGATTCACTTGTACCCATTGGTCGTGGACAGCGTGAGCTGATCATCGGTGATCGTCAGACCGGGTGAGTGTTTATGCTGGCACTTCTTTGTCACCTGCTGCCTCTGTTGTTATTTTGCGCTGGTTGTTTTTTAATAGTCCCAGCGCACACAGACTTCTATATTGGCATTCCTTTTGGTAATCGCTAACTTCATTTCGGAAAGAGAATTTGGTCTCATCTGATCAGACCAGAACAAGCTCGCTAGTACTAAGTAGCTTTTGCATGAACTTTGTGAAGTAATGAATTATGTAGTTCTACCTATTAATGGTCTCTCATTTAGAAAGACCGCCATTGCCATCGATACCATCATCAACCAGGCTCGTTTCAATGCAGGCTCTGATGAGAAAAAGAAGCTGTATTGTATCTACGTTGCCATCGGACAAAAGAGATCGACTGTAGCACAGATCGTCAAGCGACTCACTGACACCGGTGCAATGAAATACACCATCGTGGTCTCAGCGACAGCCTCTGATGCTGCTCCACTGCAGTTCTTGGCTCCATACTCTGGATGTGCTATGGGAGAGTTCTTCCGTGACAACGGAAAGCACGCTTTGATCATCTACGATGACTTGTCCAAGCAAGCCGTTGCCTACCGTCAGATGTCTCTGCTTCTGCGTCGTCCTCCCGGTCGTGAAGCGTACCCTGGTGATGTCTTCTACCTTCACTCTCGTTTGCTAGAACGTGCTGCTAAAATGAACGACTCATTGGGAGGTGGATCTCTTACTGCTTTGCCAGTCATTGAGACACAAGCTGGTGATGTGTCTGCTTACATTCCTACCAATGTGATTTCCATCACTGACGGACAGATTTTCCTTGAGACCGAATTGTTCTACAAGGGAGTTCGACCAGCCATCAACGTCGGTCTGTCTGTATCTCGAGTAGGATCAGCTGCTCAGACCAAGGCCATGAAGCAAGTCGCCGGTTCCATGAAGCTCGAGCTCGCCCAATATCGTGAGGTGTGTTTCTGGTGATTGCCATCTAGATTAGCATAGAATTTCGACGTTGCAAAAAACTTAATGACCCCCTTCGGGACGACAGATGTGCTAATTCGCTGTTGCTTTCTTATTTCTTATCTCTATTTTCCTTAGTGAAACTCTATCAGCTATTTTTTCGATCTCGGGGCTGCCTCGGAATCGAATTAGAAAGTTTTGTGACAAACCCGGCTTGCCTTGGTACGCTCTGGCCTCTAAATCTCAGACCTCCCCTCCGCCATCCTATATCTGCTCTTCTGGGTTTCACGCTGAGTTTAAACTTGATCTGAGGTATCGTGAAAAGGGTCCATCTCAATGCACATCTCGTCCATCGTGATAGTTTAACTTTTCTCATTTGCCGTCTTTTAGCCCGCTTGCACGCCTTGCTTTTTGGGATTTTTCGGAATTGAAATGCGAAGATTGCTAGAAAACTGCCTTCTTGAGGGCACGCTCCGCAAGCCACGGGTAGGACTCTTCGGCCTAGCCACCCGAGTGTGTGGCCCAGTCTTAGTGAGTGGGCTCCGCTTAGCCTAAGCATGCTCTTTAATCCTGCCCCAACGCTCTAGCCATCCCAAGATTGATTTGGCCTTATCAGGTTATTCTTCAGTGATACCGAGTTTCATAACATACAAACAAACATCAAACTGGCATGCTAAGCCTGTGGTAGTACTGATAGTTCATACAAATCTTTTTTTCAAGATTGATTGAGCTGGTGGGCTAGTTGACGTGTTTGTATCCATTTTTGCGAATCAAATCTTCAAAATAGCTGTCATTCTTTTTTAGCCAGGAAATGATCATGAAAATATAAATGTTTTTTGTTTTCATGGCTGTTTTGTCTTACAGGTCGCTGCTTTCGCTCAATTCGGTTCCGATCTCGATGCTTCCACCCAACAACTGTTGAACCGAGGAGTCCGACTTACTGAATTGCTTAAACAGGGACAGTATGTACCGATGGCTATCGAGGAACAGGTACTGTACCAGTCGTGTCGCATGCTATTTTTTGCTGCTTTTTATATAAACAGCTATTCTACAGGTTGCCGTTATCTACGCTGGAGTTAAAGGACACCTTGACAAAGTCGATCCATCTGCGATCACCAAGTTCGAGAAGGAATTCCTCGCTCACATCCGCTCAACACAACAGGAGCTGTTGAAAACGATTCACAATGAGGGTCAAATTTCACCAGACACCGATGCCAAATTGAAGGAGGTGGTCGTGAACTTTTTAGCTACGTTCAAAGCCTAGGTGTTGTGTGAGTCAGTAGTGTTGAGTTCTTTGTTATAGTGTACAAGAGATAAAGTAATTATTAAAGCTGCCTCGTAACGATTGTACGATTGTTTCTAGATAGGAAAAAGTCTTGTTCTTATTGTCGGTGGTTTCACTGAGATGCTTCAGGAGATTAAAACTTTAAAATCTTGTTATCTAGTCAATTTCGATCATGTAAGGCACACAGTACAATCGTGATAGATAGTAGCGGAATGTACCGTTAAATGACGCGATGATCACAGCAATCCACCACAAAATTTATTGAAACAATCAACAAGCAACAGAACGCGAATAACAAAAAAACAAAGAAATGAGAGCACAAAAAACCCCCCAGATCACTCGCAGGGCGGAAGAGAGAGTCTCCTGGTGGCGATCCCCTTCACAGTTGAGTGGATTCCCGTGTCACTCTCCAGAGAGTCCTAAGGGCGTATAGAGTACCTGGGCACTACCTCAGAATCCTGGCCACGAAGGCTTCTACAATCCCTTGCCACACCGGCAAATGACTGGCCACGAAGGCCTCAGACTTACTGGGTTACAGAGACCCTTAACTAAGGCCACACAGGCCCTCAAAGCACACCTGGCCACCAAGGCCACAACAGCACAGCCACAAAGGCTAAGGAAGTACGGCCACTAAGGCCACAGAGACAGCTAAGAGATGAGGTGGCTACCGTCCACCTCGAGAGAGGGGGCGAACAGTAGAATAGAAGCCTAGGCCCCTACGCCCCTCACTCGACACCTTCACTTCCCCGCGCGATCGATACTTTCCTGATCTCCTCTGACCCCCTAATGGGCCTTACGTTTAGGCGGTCGCTCATCATTGCGATCTCTCTCTTCGGCCCTTGCCGACACGCCCCCCCTCGCGGTCCGGATGGCCTCATCGACGCGGATTCTCCCTCCAAATTACGGTAACTGAATTGCGGGCACCCTAGCAGCGGAACGATTTTCGTACAGATACTTCGCAGCGGCCACCCCAGGGTACAATTTATAAAACTGCGACGCTGTTTCTGGGCATCCTGCCTCTAAAAAGAGCTTTCCATCGCAGAGCTTATTACGAGCCGTCGTGACTATTTGGTCTGGCCCAGCGAATTTTAGTAGTGTCGCATCGATCGTGCTCCATAATTGGGACATCGAAATCCACTCTGCTAGGTTTTTGGCGGTTACCGGGGTCCAAACGGTGATTATCCTGCCCCCCTCCTCGAGGTGGGCTTTCGCGAGCTTCACAATGTCCTCGATCGTAGAAGCCTCCAATTTACGCTCCAGCGGCATCACAATTATCCATGTGCTATACGCCCTCCAGTCAACAAGAACATCTCTCAAACTTGCGAATGACTTCACCACTCTCGTGGTTAGGCCTCCCCGTGGCCCATCTTTTTCGAGAAGAACTGCCGACTCTGGTGCGGCGAAGCCCAACGGGCCTCCTTTCCGTGGGCGTGCTGCCCGGCCTCCTCCTTCAATTCTTCTTTACCCTTTTAAAATGCAATTTCATATAATTCTTTCACGCTGTGCTCGTCTATCCGTGGGTGCTTCGCGATTGCCTGATTCTCACATATGAATTCCGTCCAATCAGTACAGTGATCAAGAGACCGAGTCTCATATGGCGCTCAAGGCTTGTGTTTCCAGCATTACTGCGCGCTCGTTGTTGAGACGGATTTTTTCCGTGACGGACAAATCGCTCCTGATAAAAATTGACGCAGCTCTCCATGCCGCCCATACATTTTCAAACTGCTTGCGGCGGAACGCCCCAGGGAATGGATTCCATGATATCACCGAGTGTTATTTTTTTGAAACAGTCGTCCAAACACTCGTACTGTAGATGTCCTTTGTCGGTTACGCTTGTAATCGTAGCTCCTCTGAAAAAAACACAATCAATTTTCGCCACTTTTACCTTGCATTTTCTGCCCCTACGTCCTCTCATGTGTGCAGTGTCAATTCTATCGTCCGGGATGCACTTAGGCACTATTCTTAACATATCAAATTGAACCCTAATCGGTTCGCTATTTTCTCCTATTCTGCTAACAAGGGCAGAGTTACTGCTCGCCTCAATCACTCTAAAAGGGCCTGCCCATTCACATACTAATTTGGGGTGTGTGTTTCGCGCTTTCTCATTGGGCGAAAAGACATATACCCGATCTCCCACCTTTGGGTACCTCCTGCCCTCCACCTTGTGTTGGCTATCATACTGCTGCTTCATCTGTTGTCTCACCCGATTGTTGTACTCTTCTACCCTCTCGTGGGTTTCCGAAACGGCTTGCAAGATCTCCGTCTTGTAATCTCCTAGGGACTTATCCATAGAATACCAACTTATGCCTGCATTTGGTAATACTTCAGACGGAAAAAATGGATCCATGCCGTGAAGCAGGAAGTACGGGCTTTCCCCTGTCGCTCTATGTGGAATCATATTGTACGCCATCATGCAAAATGGTAACCTAGTGTCCCACTCTGTAGGTATGAGCGTACATTTTCTTAACATGGCTACAATAGTTCCATTCAGTTTTTCCGTCAACCCATTCTCTCTGGGATTGTACCCCTTCGTCGTAACATGCGTTATTTTCGCAATTTTCGTAATTTCCTGCATAACCTGGTTCACAAATTCTCCGCCTTTGTCGGATAGCAAAGTTTTCGGCCACCGACACCCGTCGGCGATCCACCTAAAGAACACTGTCCTTGCAATCGTTTCTGCCGATTTATCTGGCACCGGGTATGCGGCCGCATATTTGGAAAAATGATCTATAACCGTTACTGCGTACCTATTGCCTTTAGTGGTCGGTCCTAACTCTAGCACATCAACCCCCACTATTTCATATGGCTTCGATGTAACTATGGGCTTCAGCGGGGGCACCATCGCCTCTCGAGGGTTGTGCACAAAACATTTCTGGCACTCTTTTGTCCATTTGTGAACATCCTGTACCATTCCCGGCCAGTACACTTCTTTGATCAATCTTCCCACAAGCTTCTGTGCACTAAAATGGCCTGCAAACAACCCGTTGTGTGCTTCCTGGAAGATCTCATATCTGTGCGCTTTCGGGACAACATAAACCGCTCTGCCATTCTCCCTATACAATAATTCAGTTCGCCCTTCTTCCAACGCGAAGTCCGCTATCCGCAATGGTTGTTTTTCTCCCGCAATTCGCACGATTTCGTCCGACTTCCCTTCCTCTACCAATCTCACTACTTCACCTAGCTGCGGATCGTTTCTTAATTCTGCCAGCCACTTTGATTCCTTAGTCGTCACAGAGTTGACGACCGCCTCATTTAACCCATCCATCGAATCTGATCTTATTGATGCAGACACACCTCTTACTGAGGGCATCCGCCACCACGTTTGCTTTCCTTTCAGACGTGGTATTGTCACCAGATTAAGCCTCTGTAACTCCAGGACTCGATGCTCAAAACCCTTGCTGAAACGTTGCTACGCTTGAACAGTGCAGTGAGAGGTTGATGATCGGTCATCCCCAATGGTTGGAGACCATAGATGAACATATGGACCTCCTCCTAACCGCGAAAACTACGGCAAGCGCCTCCAAGTCCGTGATATGATACCGACGCTCCGCTTTACTCAAACTTTTGGACGCAAAGAAAATGGGATGCGCTTGCTTGTCCTCTCCTTCTTGCGATAAAAACTGCACCCAACCCGTACACTGACGCAGTCCGTAGCAGATATATAATGGCTTATCTGCCGTACGCGCTCCCTTCTATGTCTGGTCTTGAGCACTTGGGGGCCGTGCTAGATACATGTTGCGCGTTCATTTGTTGCCGAAACGCCTCCTCGTGTTCTTTCTTCCATGCCCACTTACACTTTGACGATGTCAAATTGAAAAGGGGCCCTGCTCGCTGCGAGAACCCGAAACAGAATTTTCTGTAAAACTATGCGCTATGCGAGGAACGTCCTCAGTCTTATTCTTTCACACTTTTAGGTGCCGGGTAGTCACGAATTGCTGACACCTTATCTGGATCCATGTGGACCCCTTCCTCATCCACGACATGGCCTAGGAACGCCACCTTCCTTTTCATCAAATGACACTTCTGGGCTTTTAGTCGCAACCTTGCCTCCTTCATCCGCGCGAAAACCTGCCCTAGCAACTCCAGGTGCCGCTCCTTTGTGGTCGTGCAAACCATAATGTCGTCGATGTAGCAGAACACCTCTGTACCCAAGAGGTCTCCAACACCGAGTCCATTAACCGCTGGAACACTGGCGGGCTCGTACTTAATCCAACGGCGTCACTTTAAATTGAAACAACCCTTCCGGCGTTGCAAAAGCCGACTTCTCCTTTGCTTCCTCTGCCAACGGGATCTGCCAGTAACCACTGCAAAGATCCAACGTCGAGAAATACCTTTTTCCCGAGAGACTCTGCAGAACCGCCTCTATGTTTGGAAGGGGGTACGCATCCAACTTGATTTTCTTATTTAGTTCTCTATAGTCGACACATAACCGGATACCGCCGTCTTTTTTTTCCTACCAGCACAATCGGAAATGCCCAGTCCGACTTACTAGGCTCTATCACGCTCCTCTTCACCAAGTCCCCTAACAACTCTCTCAGCTTAGGTCTCACCCCTAGCGGAACCGGTCTTTGCTTTCATCTTATTGGGACTATCTCCTGTGTATTTATGGTCATATGCACTAAGTCCGTCTGACTCAATTCCTGGTCCGAGACGGCGAACGCTTCTGCATACTCTTCCAACAACCTCTGAAGATCCTCATCCATGCTCCCTGGCTCCATGTTGTCCGCTATCAATTCTTCTAACACCCGCAGTCTCTCCGGCGCTCTAAGGTTATCCTCTCTGGCGCCCATCAGTAGTGGGTTTGCCTCCTCCCATCGCTCAAGCCACTTATCCGTGCCCCACCGGCCGACATCTTCACCCTCTTTCAAAAAGTATGGGTTGACAACTCTTGTTGAATACGGGGAGCGATGTTCTCCGGTCTTTAATAGTGAAGACTCCCGCAGCTATACCATGCTTACATGGCCATAATCACCGCTTTCCCAGACTTCGGCCGCCTCTGGCGAGCCGGGCAACAATACCTCTACCAGTGCCGTATCGCCGGGGGGTATATAGCGTCTCTCCGCTACCACGACCTTGCTTTCATTTGCTTCATCTTTCACTGATTTATTAACTGAACTGTCCCGTTCTCTTTCAATAGAAATGTTAATACCTAAGCGAGCTAACGCATTGGTACCCAATATTATCTCCATTTCCTTTTTTGGGCTAATATGGAACGCTACGTTTTGAGTCGTCTCTTGATTTAATTTGACTGGTAAATAAACAGCCGCAAGGAAATCCATCCTATTGTTCGATGCATCGACCACCGGCTTCAGCTTTGACTTGGGCACCATTCCCAAGGAATCCAGGTCAAAACCCTTGTCTTGCACTTTCGCCAGTAGTTCCACTGGGACAATGCTTATCATTGACCCCGTGTCAATTAAGGCCTGACAATCCTCATTCAGAATGTTAAGGGGCACTGTAACTTTTTCCCCTATGAGCTCGTCCGCTGATACTCCCTTCTCTCTCACAGACATCCCCATGCACCTAGCACGATTCACAATAGCCGACAGTGTCTCGTCCTTCCGGGAAGGTGCCTCTTCCCTGGGCTCAATCTGGTTCACTCTAGCCGTACGCACTGGACAATCTCTTGCTACATGCCCATATTTGGAGCACTTATAGCATTTTCTGTTCTCGACCCCCTCCTGCGAAGAGCCATGCTGGGCTGGCCTCACATTACGTGCTTGCCTCTGGGTTCTCTGGTAATGCTCACGCTAGATTGGTAGTTGCCCCTTCCACCAAGTTCTTCTCCCCTATTTGGCGTATCTCTCCCTTGCTCCGGCCTACTGCGCGAAAAACTTGGAGCTCCTGCTCTCTCGACAAACCCGTAGCCACGATATTGTGCGGCCCTTTCTTTCCATTTCAGATCTGCTGGCCTCCTACCAACCTCAAACATAATTTTCGATTGCTCTATACTAAGAGCCAATTGTTTCACTTCCTCGTAAGCTCTCCGAGGGTCCACCTTATGCAATGCCCCAACCAGTTGGTAGTGTTCTGGCCACTCTCTGAGGTTCTCCAACAAGATTTGCGCGTACTCCAACGATCGGTCTTCCACCGTACATTCTGGGTTGGCTTGCCTACCTAGCTTCTCTAATACAGCGCAGAATTCCGCTATTTCCTGATGGGCCTCAACTTAAAGATCTTCAGTCCGTGAGGCCCTCTGCATCCTAACTGCCGTTGACATCATAGGATAGAAGGCGCCGGCCGATCTCCCGAGTCTCACCGCATCGGAGCCTCTGATCTTCGTTACCTTGGAGGGCGGCGAATATGCAGCCCCCCCCCCCCCCCCCCCCGTCTGCTTCGCGCCCTTCCTGCCAAGTGGTCGTCTCCTAGGATTTCTATGAGGGTGGCTTCACATTTGATTACCTGTTCATACTTTCTTTTAAACCTTCTTAAAAATTCTTCAAAGTTTTCGTTCTTAGTGCCTCTGTACACCCCGGGGTCACTACACGCCATCGATCTTAAATACGTTATCAACTGCTGGAGAAAACTGACGAAGCGCTGCGTCTCTCCAACGCCGGCGTCGTTGAATCCGTCGATGCTGAAGGTTGCCTCAAGCGATCTGCATATATCGGTCCAGTCGAATGCATCTGCAACTGATTGTTGAAGACTCCTTCCCCAACAGCACTTGCTTCAACGGTCCTACCTTGAACCTCCATTGCCTCGTCTTTTCGAACGGCTTCAAGTTTGCAGACTTGCGACGTGCTTTTTTACCTGCAACACGTCTGTGTTAAGCATCTCACAGATCCCTGCTAACACTTCACCATTCCTTTCCATGGTCTTGATGTATTCATCCCAGTCCTCACATCACATTGTTCAATCCCCTCTGAGCCAGTCTATTTACCACTTCATTCTCTAACTCGTGGGACATCCCCCCTTTCTTTAACTCTTCTGCTGCCATCCCTTCCACAATCTTATACGTGGCCAAGAACTCCTTCTCTATCTCCGCTCTTCTTTCTTTTGATACCCGAGACTCGCACAAGATCTCGCCTACCTTCTTCTGTAATTGCCCAACCAGGCCTACGAACTTGCCCCCTACATCTGACTTCCTTCTAAACAAAGGGAGCACACCACTCCTTACCTCCGCGGGATCCAAATTTTCCGTCATCTCTGTGTCTACTCGATCCTCGCTTGGGAGGGGGCTCTGCCTGGAAGAATTCACAATCGTATCTTTCTCCATTACACAGTGTCACCGACTCACGCAATGGAGGGTGCCCTTTCTTTGTGGTTCTTGCTTTCACCACTCGCAACAACTCGGCTACCTTTCTTTGGCGTATCCCGAGTGAACAAGCCAATAATCGAAACGATCAATAACCGACGGCGACGCAAAAGAAACAAAGAAAATCGACGAAGCAGAACGCGAATAGCGTGAGAATCTGACGCCTGCCGCCCGAAGGCAATCAATAATCAATAATCGATAACCCTCTGGTTATTACAAGCGAACTATTCCTACACTCCACTACCAAATCACGACCGGTTCGGCCCCCATGTAAGGCACACAGTACAATCGTGATAGATAGTAGCGGAATGTACCGTTAAATGACGCGATGATCACAGCAATCCACCACAAAATTTATTGAAACAATCAACAAGCAACAGAACGCGAATAACAAAAAAAACAAAGAAATGAGAGCACAAAACCCCCCAGATCACTCGCAGGGCGGAAGAGAGAGTCTCCTGGTGGCGATCCCCTTCACAGTTGAGTGGATTCCCGTGTCACCTCTCCAAAGATAGTTCTCTGTCTATTAGGTGTCTATAGTAGTTACTTTTTTGTTCTATTCTATTCTTTCTTTTTTCGAATTTTCCTGGCCACGAAGGCTTCTACAATCCCTTGCCACACCGGCAAATGACTGGCCACGAAGGCCTCAGACTTACTGGGTTACAGAGACCCTTAACTAAGGCCACACAGGCCCTCAAAGCACACCTGGCCACCAAGGCCACAACAGCACAGCCACAAAGGCTAAGGAAGTACGGCCACTAAGGCCACAGAGACAGCTAAGAGATGAGGTGGCTACCGTCTACCTCAAACGGAACAGTAGAATAGAATGTCCCCCTTAGGCCCTACGCCCCTCCAAACCCTCGACACCTCACTTCGCCCTGCGCGATTCAGATATTTCCCCTTGATCTCGCTCTGACCCCCTATATGGCCTTTACCGTTTTAGCGGTCGCTCATGCATTTGCGATCTCTCTCTTCGGCCCTTGCGCGAACAATGCCTGCAGTCGAGTACTGCCGGTCACAAGAGCAGCCGGCGTTAGCATGCAATGATTAGTGTGTGATCAAGGCTGTTTTTTTTGTTTCTTGGAACCTGGAGTGGCGAATTAAATTAAGGAAAAGGGAATCGATAGACGCCAAGTTTTGGGAAAGGCCAAAGGCTTTTCTCCTAACTCTGGAGGTGGTAATTCTCCTCCATAGAGTGAGTGCTATTGATACGTGTACGAATTAGCCCCGAATATCATTCGGCAGGTTAGAAAAGCAACAAATGGAATAGTGTTTGTTTCCCATAGCGTCTCGTCACGTCAGTGGACACCTTGCCCAGCTCTCATACCTACCGTGTTCAAAAAGTCGGCTTGTCAACCGGCGTTGCCTTCTATGGGTGAAAGGCTGCTTCAGGTCTCATCGTCAGTCCTTGAAACCGTGCGGTTCGCTAGCGATTGGTCGCAAAGCCTGACACCTGCTTAGGCCCTGTTCAGAGATGCCCGCTTGCGCGAAAAAACGCATAGGCGAAACAATGTGAAATATGTATCGACTGAACGAAGACGCACAGGCGAATCGTGAAGTGGGAGGATCGACGAAAATGAGTATCATACGCATCGACTTACGAACGCTTCGCTCACGCGATTTTCCGCCTGTGCGTTTCTCACAGTCGATACATATCAAACTCTTGACTGAAATTCGCCTGCTCCGGACGTTTGCGTGACCGATTCAATCGTGGCAGTAAGTAGGTCGCCGCGCCGGCCGCCGCAGCCAGCAATATCGCGGCGAATTTGCAAAGAACTCAGCATCCAAACATTGGAGAATGTAAGATTAGATTAAGTTTCCCAGTAATGAAACATGAAATAGGAACCACCTTACCCTTTAAAATGCAGTTTCGTTTTCGCTCGCCATTATTACATACTTATCATATCATGCTTATGTTAGAGCCTTCCTCGCCGCTACTCTGTGTCTTGATACGCAATATTCTTTCCGATTGAACCAGATTATCACTCTCTGATAGAAATTCAGGAAAGCTGATTAATAAAGAAGTCAAATTAAATCCAAAAGGACAACCTTTACACGGTACAAGTTTGTACTGCGAGGCTTAAATCACTGCAGGGATCTTACAGTGACGCTTGCTGGCTTACTGATGTCCAGCACTCTGGTGTTATCAGTCACCTAGCCAACTTATGGCATGGATGGATAAGAAAAGGTCCACACAGAAATCGCCGCAGCAACTGCCGCACGCGACGATTCTCGCCGCGTGAGCGGCGTGACTCACACCAGGAAAGGCATTCAACTTCCCATGGAACTTTGAGATGAGACCCAGATATATCGATAGAGCTTCAAACGCTGATTACAAATATGGAAACTAAAACTGCAAAATGAACCTGCCAAGGAAGTTGTGAGCAGTCAAAGTTGGCTGGAAGTAAAGCATTACACTAGCCTCCGGCTTTTAGAGTCGCCGCGGAGCAGTGGCTGGTGCATTCGCTATTCACCCTGGAGGTCATAAGCTCTCCTCCCGTCGGAGCGCAAATTCCGAGAGCACTACCACTACTCCACGGCGACTTTGAAAGCCCGGAGGCTAGTGTAATGCTTCACTTCCAGCCAACTTTGACTGCTCACAACTTCCTTGGCAGGTTCATTTTGCAGTTTTAGTTTCCATATTTGTAATCAGCGTTTGAAGCTCTATCGATATATCTGGGTCTCATCTCAAAGTTCCATGGGAAGTTGAATGCCTTTCCTGGTAAGTGGCCGACGACTGAATGGACTCCCCTGCCGCTAATGGACGCTTCGCATAAGCGTTCGCCACAAATTCGTCACGTATGTTATCCAAATCTTTTTGCGGAGATTCACTGTAATTTCGCCTCAGCGTTTTTTGCGTCAGCGGGCATTCTCTGAAAAATCGTTAAAGAATCCTTTCGGAAATTCTTGCGTTTTGCCCCAAGAATATGTCATTTGTGATATAGAGACAAACATAGCAAGTTTCACGCAGCAAAAGATTCAATTTCCAAAGGGAACCCACAGTTCGATGGACAGCCGAAAGTAAGCCGCGTGGAGCCAAAGGCTAGGCATGGAAAGAAGTGCGGATTGGGACCAGGGTCAACCGTCCGTTGGACAAAGTCCAACGAGAGGGGGGGTGGGGGGGTCGTATTTGGGGGTGGAAAAGGGAGGGGGTCGTATTTCGCGAGGTAGCGTTAATGTTACAGTAAGGGAAGGGATGATTTTTTCATGGAACGGAGAACGGCTTAGGTTTTTCTGGCCGAGTTGGTTAGGTTTTGTGCGCTAAAAGTTTGCCGTTTCACATTTAGGAGTTGGGCTGTGTCGACTGGTCTCAGAATCAAATACTATAGAATCAGGCCCATTATGGCGAGGGTGGAGGAGGGTACTCGTTATTGGTGGAGTCTTCTGAGTCTCATGGTGGTGGAGGGGAGTCGTGAAGGGTTGACCCTGAAGAGGGGGGTCGTATCGAGGCCCTCTAGAAGGGGGGGGGGTCGTAAAAGTTTTCGAAATTGGTCCAACGTGACGGATGACCCTGCTTGGGAGGGCCAGGTATTAGGCGACGAAGAACCAGGTTGAAGAGTTCGATTTCAAAGAATAGAACAAAACGATCGTTAGAGTAGGATGGAGATGAAGTGTGAGAAGTTAATACAATAAGTAAAATGGTCAGAAATAGCGATTATTTGAACGGGTATGAGCTTTTACGGTCTTTCTAATCTTTTTTTATACCAAAGAATGTATTTATTTGTTTTTTGTTCTTTTTATTCTTTGACCATGAACGATGGGTTTCAAGACAGTGATTATGGAATAAGTTCAAGATTCTTCTGGGGGATTCTTTCAACTCTTTTGTTGCGGTGAGTGGGCTGGTAATTTAACGCGATTTAATGAAACGGTGAAATATCTGCTTTGTTCGTATGTGGATCATACGCTAGTAGGTACAAGAGGCAGGGTCAACCGTCACGTTGGACCGATTTCGAAAATTTTACGACCCCCCTCCCCCTTCTAGAGGGCCTCGATACGACCCCCCCCTCAGGGTCAACCCTTCACCACCCTCGCCTGCCATCGCCATCATGGGGCTCATTCTATAGTATTCGATTCTGAGACCAGTCGACCAGTTGACACAGCCCACTCGCCCTTTTTCCTCCAAAATTATCGTTAAGCGGGGTGGGGGGAATATAGCCCGCAAATATTCTCTTCCCACTCCCCCCTTATTTCACCAAAATTTCCACTGCAACATTTCCTAAGGGAGCTATACACACCATGAAACGCCAACCAACTGCATCATCACTTCCCTTACTGTAACATTAACGCTACCTCGCGAAATACGACCCCCCTTTTTCCACCCCAAATACGACCCCCCACCCCTCGTTGGACTTTGTCCAACGCACGGTTGACCCTGTCGAGAGGTGCATATTATTCTTTCATCGAACTTGGTGGGTCCCTAAACATGGTACAGGAACATTG